TTGACAGGAACTGGGGAGGAAACAGGAGCTCACCCTGTTAACGCAAAGGCTGGACTCGAACTGCTGAAGCGTCAACCATTTCTGGCCGGCAACTTTCAGTGTCATTAAGCTGCTGCGCCACCGCGTCCCCTCTCCCACAGGAAATAGGTGGTCCCTTAAATAACCAGGCCCTATGCCATGTAGGGCTTTATAGGTATTAACCAGCACCTTGAATCACACATGGAAGCAAGCTGGCAACCAGTGCAGCTCATGGAATTGGCATGTCACATGGGAACACTTGAGTCATGCCCATCTCTGCCCATGCTGCTGCATTCTGGACCAGTTGAAGTTTCCAAGTCGTTTTCAAGGGCAGCCCCATGTAGAACACATTGCAGTAGTTGAGCCTTGAGATGAGTAGTACATGAGTGACTGTCTGAAGAGTCTCCCGATCCAGGAAGAGGTGCCACTGGTGCACCAGGACATGTACATTCATGAAGGTCCCATAATTTTTTCTAGCAGAGCTCAGCTACCACTTTAAAATTTCACCAAAATCTTGTCTCTGCTGTATTTGTTGCAAAACCAGTAGCACAACTCTTCTGCAATGTGCAACTAGGCAGCCTACAAAAAAGTATGATCAGCTTTTTAAGGTCAGGTTGAGCCCCACCTCCCTGGGCAAGATCAAGGAAGCAAAACTGCAAAGCTTTCCGTAAAGTATCTTTAATGCTAGTCTAGAATAAATAGAGGATTTTGGAAATTCTAAGAGGAATTTCACATCCTCATTTATAGTGAATTAATTAAGGCAACATCTCTGAATGATTGGAGATGCTTTTTCCAAGTTGCTTTTTAAGAAATAAGCTGTCAGGGGCAATTGATTCATCCTACATTATTTATGTCTCCTTTCCCTTCTATTCCTTGACCTGCCTCTCTGCAATCTGTCCCAGCTCCCTCTTTAAAACACCCAGGTGGCACAGATTGTCAGGTGGTGTTCCCAAAATCGAAGCCAGGGATAAAACTTGTCAGGCTTAGTCTTGATCCATGATGGATTACTCCCACTAATAGCTTGGATAATCAAGCAGCAGATTATAGATATAGTTTTGTTAATTGGTTGTAGGTAGTACTTTCACTCTCTTTAGTGCATGTTACATTCTAAGTGCCTGAGAATTCTCAGTGCCACTACACAATCCATGCAGCTTTACAAATTCAGGGTAATTTCCTCCCCAGTTTAATTTGATTATTCAACCAGTGGTTCAGGCTACAGATAGGCCTCGCTTAATGACCATAGCTGGTACTGGCAATTAGGTCATTAAGCGATGCAGTTGTAAATGCACACTGGTTGCAAAGTATGGTTGCAAATGGTAATCACGTAACTGAGGGGACATTGCAACAGTCGTAAATGCGAGGACCGGTCACTAAGTTTTTTTAGTACCGTTGTAACTTTGAAGGGTTGCTAAACAAGGCAGCCATTAAGCAAGGTCTACCTGAATGAGCAGCTTTCCTGGAATCTGCTGAGCAGCAGAATTTGGAGTACATGGAATTGGCGTGTGAACGGTGCCCCACAAAAATACTTGGATGATCCCTCTCGCCACTTTCATGAAGGGATTGAGTGTGAGCAGGATGGGTCCTTCAAGGGATACCACGGGCCATCTGCTGAAAAACAGGAGCCTCCCCGGGCTTCTTTTTGCAAACATCATGAAGGATTGGAGCCACTGATAGGTGTTGGGCCGAAGTCCCAATACTGGGGCTGCTTTCAGGGAGTGACACTGAAAATTCTGCACAATCAGTAAAGTTTATAAATCTTGTCCCCAGTGCTTAAGCAGTCATATTTACTTATTTTTATTTTTATTTTATTTCTTTGAATAATGGATTCTGTGAGCTGTGAGCTTTATATTTCATCTGTCTTTTGAAGGAATTGACTGTCCTTCTGTCCTTTCATTCTGTAAGGCACTCTATGCTACCCAAGTTTCAGAGAGCCAAACAAAAACTTGAGACGAGACTTCTGTAAAAGTTAACAGATGTATTTTGGCCAAGACACAACTGGGTGAGCCCAATCCACACCGTGGCAATGAATGCTGATTGAAGCCACACCTTGCAAAGCAAACATCAGAGGCTTTATAGAAAGGTACAGGTGTAAAAAAAATTCAAATCAGATAGTGCATCCT